AAAAGCATTTTTGGGAGTGCCAAATCCTAACCAGTAGACCACCAGGGAGGGAAAGTACTTTTGGCAACTGCTTATTTCATTAATATAGCAACAGGCTGTGCTTTGCTGTAAGAGTGATATTTGAAGGATCCAATGAGGTATTTAGTGGGACCCACTGGTACAAGCAGTTAAACACTTGATTACTAATGGAAAGCTAGGCAGTTCAAACTCACTTTCAGGTGCATCAGAAGAAAAGCCTGGCAATCAGCTTCTTAAAAAAGTCAGCCTTTGAAAACCTTAAGAAAGACCTCTACTCTGAAATAAGTGGAGCTGCCTCAAGGTGGAGCTGACCTTGTAGCTTGTCATGCAAATGTCTTATGTCTCAGCATTACAAAGCCGTGGACCACAGTCATTTTTAAATATGTGGGACCATCTCAGAGAAAAAGCTGATTTATATATCACACCATCAAACAAGTTAAATTCCAAACGGTTTAAAAGTTTAAATACTAAAATTTGAAACCATTAGTGTACAAAAGAGGAAAACAACCCTAACATACATAATTTCTGAATGGAAACTTTCTAACCATGACTTGAAAATCTAGAAACCATGAAAGATAATATGGATACATTTGCGTAAAACATGTGGAAACCATGTTGGCAAATGTTTTAGTGTATTTTGCCAAATTTTAAATTTTAAATAACTGAAAGAAGCACCTTAAAGACTGTTGAAAGGAAAAGTACAAATTAGGAAGAAATATTTGCCATCAGCACTGCTGACAATGAATATCTTTTCTCTGAAAATTGATTAGAGAAAGATGAACAACTTGAAGGAGAAATGAGCAAGAGTTAGAAATAGCTTCTAGGGAAGGAAGTGCACTCGTTCAAACTTGTGCCAGCAGCTCAGTCTCACACATAGGAAGAGGAAAATGCATCCCAACTACACTCAGGTACTATATGTTTAATCCATCAGGTAAGCAAATATCCCAAATTTTGACACAACATCAAGCTGGCGGGCAGAGGTAGAGATGTGCACACTTTACCTGAGGGCAGCATACCTTGGTATGCTAATTTCACATGACAAATACACATTCTCCTAGACCCAGACTATCCTTTGACATATTTTACATATAAACTTAAATAATTGCAAGATGACACACAAAGTTGTTAATTATGACCTTGCTTACAATAATATAAGATTAAGAATGACAAAAAAAAATGACAGCTACAAGGGAATGGCTTAAATGATCAAGATGCATCTATATAATAGATACATCTTATGTTTCTTCAGAAGAAGAATGAGGACAGTATTATTCAGGTGCAAAGAGATGGCAATTGGGGAACCTTGAAAACATGACGCTGAATGCAGCAAGACAGGCGAAAAGGACAAATATTGTATGGCCCTAGTTATTGAAAAAAATCTCTAGAATAATTAAGACACAGAGAAACAAGACTTTATTGGTGGCTACCAGGGGTGTGTTCGTAAGGAGCTTTGGTGGTCTAGTTTGCACTGTGTTGGCTATTTACAGAGAGGTTGGCAGTGTGAATCCACCTTTTGCTCAGTGAGAGAAAGATGGATAGTTTCTTCTCATGATGGAGTAGTAACTGACTTTGTGACAGCTGGTTTGGTAAAACTAACTTTGAACTGATTATCATCAAGTCAGAACCAACTCATAGCTGACCCTCCAGAGAACCAGTAGAGGCTATAAATGGCACAGGAGGAAATTGCTCACCTCTCTCCCACAGAGCAGCTCATGGATTCGAACCACCTGCCTTTGGGCTCCACTACAACTCCCTATCCACCAGGTCACTGGAGCGCCTAGTTTGGTTAGGAATAATTAACTAATTAAATTGCTATTGAGTCAGGATCGAATTCCAGCTGATCCTCCATTGGGTTATGAAGGCTGTATATACCATGGGAGGAGACTGACAGGCCATTCAGAGGAGCAGGTGGTAGGCTCAAACACCGCCTTCGGTTAGCGGCTCAACTCCCTACAGACTATGCCACCAGAGCTCTTGGGGCGGTGCCTGGTAGAATGAAAGGGGAAGATTTAGTTAAAGGGCACTGATTTTCTGTTAAAGATAGTGACAAAGTTTGGAAATGATGAAAAATGGCTGAAATAGCAAATACTTTGTCATATATGTGCCACCACAAAACCCAATTATATATGTAGGTTGAACAGATCCTATTTCTATACCCATATGAATATACACTGTAAATATATTAATAAGAAGAGTGTTCATAAATAAAGATGATTAAACTTTGTTGCTATATACAGTCAAGTTGCAAATGACTAGTAGTCATCCCTCAAAGGGTTTTCAGAGGCAGTAAATTGAACAGGGGTGGATTTCCCATCTTCTGCCCCTGGGAAGAAGATTCTGGTGAATTTAAAGCACTTTGGTTTGGAATTGCAACTTCTTATCACTAAGTGACTAGAGTTCTCTACTATAAGCATGGAGAGAAAAATCTTGTTCAGAAGAAGAGAGGAAGACCCTCAGCAGGATGGACAGAGGCAGTGACGACCAAAGGGCTTGAGCAGACAGAGATCATTAGGTTGGTGCCAGACAGGGCGAGGTTCAGATCTGCTGTTCAGAGCGTAGCTAAGCCATAGACTTAATGGTACCTAAAACCACCATAGTATAATAGTGTGTCAACAGGAATAAAAGGATAGTCCTATTTGTAGCCAAACTCTGGGAGACTAGATAAAAAACTAGTAACATGGCTGTCTATTTGCAAATCGGCAGGGGGCTGTGACTGACAGTGAGATGGGAAGGACGGACACTTGGAGTTTTTAGACTCTTAACGAGGTGTGGTCTTATCTATTAAAATATAGAAATGAAATGTATAAAATATTTAAAGACTTGGGTATGATTTGTATTGCTTTTCCTTCTCCCTTCTGGAAAGTCATCAGCTCTCAGCTCTTTGTGCCCTGCTTCTCGCCCCTCTCTACTGCTTGCTCCTCAAGCGAATGGTCCCCTCCTTCCCGCTGTGGGGGAAGATGACGTAAGGTGAACATGGGGGCATCCTGGGAAGAACAAAATGCACAAACTCAGGTTCCCAAATGGGAACTTCGCAACAGCTCTTAGCTAGAGGATGCTGGACTCCCTGGAAGTCATGAATGCTTACTACTTTTGGCTGCTACCTGAAAGATGAAGGTTGAAGTCCACCTATCTACTCCTGGAAAGAATGACCTGGTGATGCACTTCTGAAAAACCAGCATTTGGCTTTGATATGAAATAAGAGTTAAAACCGATGCACCCAGAAAGATGGGTTAAATAATGTATACTGCATTGAAACGGATGAGGGAGAAAACCATTTAAAAGAGATATGTGGTTAGGTATTTTTGTCATGACAGGAGTCCAGAATGAAGGCTGCATAATGGAGTGGACCTAGGGGAAGGGATTGTAAAATAATGAAAGAATTTTTCTTTTACTTTTCCAAGAGGGGGAAAGGGTTCGGAGGGGAGAAAAGTGCAACAATGAATGAATGGAAATCCAAAGTCTCTGTAAATTGTCATTGAAATTAATAATTAATTTAAAAAAATTTTTAAAAAACAACAAAAACCCCAAAAAACCAATGCACCCATGTCATGTGTGAGCCTATGGCATCATTTTGGGGAGGGCTTAGAAATTGGATGTACTTTTATCTTTGTGCTCAACCATGAAATGTTGGTGAGGTACTGTGTCAAAATTACATCCTATTTATGTTTCTTTCATTGTTGTTGCATTGGAACCAACTCACAGCTGGCTCTCCAGCAAAGTAAATGGAACAGACAGAGCCACTGGTGGATATATGGACCTACTCGTGGAAAACCTTGGGAGGCATTGCTGAGCAGGTATGGCCTTTGGGTTAGTGGTAACTTCCTACAGCCCAGACCACTTAGAGCTCTCTTTATTAAGACTTAATGCTCGCGCAGTTATACAGAAGGGTTTATGTTTCAACTTTCACCCTTGGTGAAATGCATCCGAAATTGAGGACTTCAAAAAGTACATCAAGAAAATAGAAAGAATAATGACATTTACCGTTGTCAGCAGTTCTTGCCTTAGTCTAGTGAGCTAAAACTGCTCAGTACAGCTTAAAAGAAAGCAGATTCTGAGCTTTCTCATTAACCTTTCACAACCCTGCACTACCCTCTCGGATCTCAGCCACATCTGGTTGCAAGAGAGGAAATAGTTCACATTTGATCTCAATCATCTGATTCATCTACAACCAGTGGGGACACATCCTTCTGTGCAAACATAAAATCTGCAAACAGGTTTGTTGTAAGTGGAAAGGGAGCAGTCACTGCATAATAGTGATTAGTGACATTAGCCTAAATAGCAACTTAATATTAAAAGATTAACAGTATTAATATGAAATCTAAATAGCCCTAGATAATCCATACAGAAAGACGATTAAGAAGCTCATGAGTGGTGACTGAGACAGCATAGCTGTGAGTTCTAAAAGTCTTTCTAAATCTTTCCAGGAAGTTTTTCAAGTGTTCAGGTATAAGCTTATTTTTTTTTTTTTAGTTTTATTATTTTAAATTTCTCCCTTCTTACAGAAAAACTGATGTTTCTTCCCTTCTCTCTTCCCTGTCTACTCTTCAAATCCATGTTATTGATAAGTTTACGATCCTGCTTTCCCCACAACAGGCTAAATGCATGCACCATCTGAACTTTTAAAAAGAGGGTCTGAAACATGCAAACATCTGAACTTTTGGAAAAGAAAATGGATGCAACACGCATATAGATTCACAAACATAGAGCAACCCCACGCAAAACACCCAGTAAAGAAAAATATCCCCCCAAAACAAAATAATGCAATGCAAGCATAGAGAGGGCAAGCGTTAATGGCACTGCTAACCCCAAACTGGACTGGCCTTTGCAAGTCTTCTTTTTGGGGGAGTTGGGATAGAACAGGTGAGTTTCAGCAATGCACTGTCTAGAAGACTTTAATCCCCATGGCAATAACAACCAAAAAAAAAAATTGGCAAGCCAGTCCCAGCCCTCGAGACACCCCCCTCAGCTTGACCGCCCCTCACCTGCTCCCCTTCTCTCCTCTCTCCCCAGAAGAAGGCACTTCATGGAAACGTCTGGGAAAGCCCTTGGACTTTATTTTGTTACACCTTCTAAATGGACAAAAAAACAAGAGAGAACAGGTGTAGAAGACAGTATTTTCAATTGGCCACCAATGCCCTCCCTCCAGAACACAGCATACCCCAGCACTGGCCTCCTGTGGGGGACAGTGTAAATAAACAGGGGACTGCACAGGTGCGGTTGAGTGGTTTTAATAAGCTCTTTGTTTTATGTGGAGTTAAGGAGTAAGAGATGGGAACATCGCTCTAGAAGCCATCCCTAGGTATTATATGCCTGTCTAAACTCATGGTGTCAGTGGGAGGTAAGGCCATCTCAAATATGAATATTATCTAACAGATCTCTTTCACGTTTGTCATACTGCTGTCACAAACAGGTTGGCTTAAAATACCACTGGCATAAACGGAATAAATAGACAGGAATCTATGGACACCTTTTGGACTCTCTCTGTGGGGCAATTTCTCTCTCAATTTGTGCTCAGAATGAAATCTGACATTTTGACATCTCCTCTTCCATCTCATCTCTGGACAATATCCAGATTCACACCTTTGACTATGGAACACACAGAAGTGACTCAGAGGAGGGCTAACAACTGGAAATAAATGACTACATGGGCAGTCCTGTGTATTTCTAGGGAGCTCCTCGTGGTAAGAAGCCATGATGCACCACCACAGGCACACAGCTGGAATCCACCAGCTGCTCTGCAGGAAGAAAGATGGGTAATTGCTACCCGTGTTATTTACTGCCTCTGAAAACCCACTGGATGGTCAGGTCTGGGCCAGTTCTGACTCAAAACCACACAACAACCTATTTCCTACCCTCCGAAAGCATATATCCACTGCATCCAGGATTTGACTGTGGCATTGAAAACGTGTGATGTTGCCACACAAGAATATGGGAAGGTGTTTAATGAATTTGTATTTAATCCCAAAATTTGGGCTATAGGATTTCACACTGAAATGCTTCTTCCTCTTTCCAAACCCTGTAGGTAGAACAGAAAAGGAAAACTCAAATGTACTGAGGTGTATTTTTTTTCGGGGAGGGGGGAGGCTCTGTTGGATCCAACTCAGAACACTCCATTCAGATCCACAACTGCAAAGAACGTGTTAACCTCTGTCCCAGGTGCAGCTTTCTGCTTGTAACAATGAACACCGAGCTACTGTGTTAGGTTTTGCCTTTGTTCTCCCCCCCAACAAGATATGCTTTCATTTCTTTTTAGTAGACACCTAGGAAGA